TGGCAGGATAGAAGAGAAGACCACCTGTGCACCCATCTCCTGTTGTGGGGATAGGGTGTGGGTATGGGTGTGTGTGTATAGAGTGAGTGTGCATGTAGTGGTGTGGTGTAGGTGGGTAGTGTGGGTGTGGATGGTGGGGTGTGGATGGGTGTGGAGGGAGGTTTGAAGGGGTGTGTCTGTGTGGGGGGCATAGGTTATGTTGGGGGGTGGTGTATATGTGGGAGGTTATGGGGGCAGGGTGTGAGTGTGAGGGAGGTTGGCGGGGGGAGGGACCCCTCCGCACCCGCTCATGGTGCAGCAGCAGGCAGGTCACTCAGGACATAGGTGCCCACCAGGGCACGGCTCTGGCCAGCACTGCACAGTGCAGTGAGGGGCACAGCCTCCGCTGGGCCGCTTGTATCATTAGCACTGCCCACCACTCATGCATCCCCTGCACTTGCACAGCAGGAAGGAAGCCCCACGTGCCAGAGCCGGCTGCCTTTCCTGCCAGAGATGTGCAGCACTGGAGAGAAGCCCCAAGGGCTGGAGCCAGCTGCCTTCCTCGTCCTGCAGGGGAAGGCACCTGAGGCTTCCTTCTCCTGCAGTGCAGCCCCTGCGGGGAAGGCAGCTGGCTCCAGTGCCCAAGGCTTCTCTCTAGTGCTGCACAGACCCAGCAGGGAAGACAGCTGGCTCCGGCACATGGGGCTTCCTTCCCTGCCGTGCAAGTGCAGGGGCTGCGTGTGAGTGGTAGGGAGTGTTGGTGATACAGGCAGCCTGGTGGAGACTGTGCCCCTTGCTGCAATGTGCAGCACTGGCTGGAGCCATGTCCCACTGGACGCCTGCACATTTAGCACTCCGCCTGATGCTGCTGCCACCCCCTGCCGGGCATGCACACCATGGGGGAGGGGACTGGGGGGGGGTCTCTACACGCCCCCCACTCCCTCACACTCAGACACTGCCCATCCCAGCTCCACGCTGCCACAAGCCCCAGCCCCACACTCCCATCCAGCTGCAGCCCCACTCCTGCTGCTTCCCTACCTGCTGCAAGCAGGAGACTGGGAAGCAGAGCAGATCCCTGGAGCAACCCCCACACAAAAGTTGCATGCTGGCTGGCCAAGCCCTTTTGC